TCTAATTTTTCATATTTTTTAAAATATATATAATTTATTAAATTTATGTTTTTATTTAAGTTTTTATAAAAGTTCCTTTTAAAATAATTTTTTTTATAAATTATATAAATAATATAAATAATATAAATAATAAATATTTTATTTTTATTTTTATTTTTCATCTGAAATTTTTTTTAATTTTTATACTAAAATATAATTCTAAATTATTATAAAATGAAACTTTCAACACTTATCGATAATGTATTTTACTTTTTTTTAATAAAATATTTAATTTTTAATTATTATTTATAGATATATATTTAATATTCAATATTATATTAATTAAAATTTCTAATTATAATTTAATAATATGTTAATATTTATTATATATTATATTAAAAAATAATATTTATCAATTTTATTCAAAAAGTTTTAGATAATTTATAAATTATATTTATTTTTATTATTTATCATTATTTAAAAAAAAATCAATCTTAAAGTAATTTATTTTTAATAATTTAGTAAAGTTTAAAAATATATGTTTTAAAGAAAATATTATTAAATATTTAAATTCAATAACTAATTTAATTATATTATACTATATATATAATAAAAGTATTTTGAGTAAAGAATTTAATTACATGATTATTTAAAATTCTATTTTTATATTTTTTAATTAAATATAACTATAAAATTTATTAATATTAAATTTTATTATTTCATTAATTTTAGAAATATTTATAATTTTTAAAAAAATTAAATTATTTATTAAAAATTTTTATTACTAATTAAAATAAATTCATCAAAATAATTAATTATATAATTATTTATAATTAATTAAATATTAAAATTTGAATTACATAAAAAAGCAATAATCATTTATAATCCTTTTTTTCTTTTAAACAATATTTATTAAAATAATAAAAAAAAGAATAAAAAACCATTTATATTTTTATGAATCTTAATCAAATATTTTAATTTATAAAAATAATATTTTACATTTCATTAATTAATATTCCTAATTTTTTTATTTTTTTTCTACTATTTAAATTTAATTGTGTAAATATATATAAATTTAATTAAAAAAAAATAGTTATTTAAATAAAAAAAAAAAACTAAATTCAAGAAAAAGAAAGAAAGATATATATCAAATATTAATATGTACTAAAAAGTATAATTTTAACATTTTTTATATTTCATATAAAAATAAAAAAACAGTGAGATAATTATGATTACTAAATTTTAAATTATTAAAATATATATAAAACATATAAACTAAAAATATTAAATTAAATATAGAGTAATTATATATTTTTTTTAAGTTAGTTAGTTAGTTAGTCATTTTTATAAGGATTTTCTTTTTTAAAATTTTTTATTTTTTTATAAGTCGAATTAATTATTTAAGCTTCTTTGCATATCAATTATATTCAAATTACATTAGCTACTAATAGTTATATTTTATGTAGAACAATTAGTAGATTCTGATTAATTTTTAATATAAGAATTACTATTTAAAATAAATTCTATATTTATTATAGATTATTTACGTTTTTAATCGTAATAATCATATTATATATCTATTGGATTAACCATTTTTATATTATTTTTATCTAACCAATTATTTATTCTTACTTCTAATTCATTACTTTAATTTATTTCAAATTTTTCTTAATTTAATATTTTTATCTATAAAAATAGTTCAATACTTTCAGATTTTAAAAGCCTTGGTAATTTTTATTTATTTTAATTATTTGCTTAAATAATATCCATTTTAATTTAAATAAGTTTTGACTTTAATTATTTATTATATTTTTATTTTATTTTTTTAAAAAAAAAACATTTAAGATTTAAAAATAATTAAATCTAATAAAAAAATAACTCTTAAGAAAGCGTTTTTTATCGAATTTTTTATTTCGGATTACACTGTTTTTTATATTCAATAGAAAATATAAATATTTAAAATAAAATTTAAGTATATTAAGTATTTATTCTATTTTTTTTTTAAACAAAAAAAAACATTTGTACATAATATATTAATGATTTAATTTTATTTAATTATTTAAAAATTAATTATTATCTTATATTTTTTAGATTTAATATATGTAATTATTTCTTGTTACATATTTATAAAAAAAAAAAACTGATTAAATTATATAGATTTCATTTATATATATATAAAGAAAAATTATTAATAAAATAAATTTATTTTTATTTTTTTAATAATAATATTTTAAATTGAAATTAAAAAACATTATTTTGTTTATAACTGTTTTAAGCTTATTTTAAGATTTTACTAAATAAAAATTATTAAACTAATTTATATAATATATTGATAATAAATATATTTTTTTAATTGTCATTATAATTAAAAAAAGTTTTTTTTATAAAAAAAATATTAATCTTTAATCTATTACTATTTTTATAAATACTATTAAAAAATGGATTAAAGTAAAATTATAATTATTAAGTATTAGTTAAATTTAATAATTATGGTCTTAATTTAAGAATGAGTTATTAAATAAGAAAAATAAATGCTAATACTATTTTAATTATAAAAAAGTTATTGTTATAAAATTATTGTTTATGATATTTATAAAATATTCATATATTTGAAATATTTAAATTTAAATATTTATTATAATATGTATTTATATTTAAAATTTCTCTTAACTCTTTATTTTAATATAAAAATCATAAAATTAGTGTATTTTTAATCTATTATATAAATTGATAATAGACTAAAAAAAAAAATCGTTAAAAAAAAAAAAAAAAAAATTAAATAAAAAATTATAATTTAATAATATAAATTATATATCAATAATAAATAAAATGATATATATATATTTTTATTTTTCAAAAAAATATTTATTTTTACTTTATTTTATTATTTTTATTTAAAACGAAAAAAAACAAAACAAAAAAAAGTATAAAATTTAACAATATAAATTAAATAAATAAATAAATATACAACAAGAAAAAATAAAATAATATAGAAAATTCTTAATTAAGATTATTTCTTTATTTTTTAACAAAAAATCAATTATTTTTTTATTAAGTAAATTCTTATAAAGCTTATTAAATAGCATCTTTATCTTTTAATCTTATTACTTTTTTTCCTTTACTTTTTAATATATCTTCCACATTAGTCTATTCATCTTCAAACCACCCTAAATTATCAGCCACAAGATGTAAATTATCACAACCTTCACATCTTATTAAAACCACACCTTAAGTATAAGATCTATGTGTAAATTTTTTCGCTGCTTTAGTTTAACAAACTGTACATGTAAACATCATCATAACCATTTTTTCTTCTCCATTTCCTTTTGTTCCTTTTATCTAACTATATAGACTTTAATTAATGTTAGAATTTTCTTAATTATTTTATATTTTTTGAGTATTTTCAGATGAATTATTTGTCATTTTTTATAAAGGTAAATGTTGCATATTTTTTTCTTCTTTTTTATTATTAAAATAATTAAATTAATTATTTTATATAAAAATACCATTTATCTAAAAATATTAATCATATGTTTTTTATTCATTTTAATGTATTTTTTTTTCTTAAATTAATGTATTTTATAATATATTTTTATCATTTTAATTAATATTTTAACTGAAATGATAGTTTTGGATGTATTTTATTTAATTTTTAGCCGTATTTATTAATATTATACTAAATTTCTACATATTTTTTTTGTTTTTTTTGTTATTTTTTTATGATATTAATAATTTATATTATTTAAGTAAATCTATTTACAATTACATATATTATAGGATCGTATTTATATATGAATTTTAATTAAATTAAAATCAAAATAATAATGATAAAATAAAGGCAAAACTATAATAAAATATAAAATTAATAAAACAAAAAAATATAAAATTATATTAGTTTTCTATATTATTACATATTCATATCAAATTAAATTTTAATATTATTTAAAAAATATAAAATTAATTTTTGTTAGTTTTCATATTCTTATGTATTTAAAAAATAAAAAAACTCTATAAATCACTAAAAAAACATTGCTTTTTTTAGAAAAATAAAATATAATTTACAATATATTTAATAAAAATAAATATTTTTACGTTAATTGGTTATTGTTTTTTTTTATATTTTAATTTTTTTTTTTATCTATTTTTACAAAAAAAAAAAAAAAAAAATACTATTTTTAACAAAAAAATAAAAAAACTAATAAAATTATAAATAAATAAATAAAAAAAAAATGATAAATTCATAATAAGAAGTAGAAAATTAAAACTTATATTAATAATATATAAACTTAGTATATATTTTATTTTTTTAAAAATAAGCACAAATTAAATTAAAAAGATAAAGTTATATAACTTTTACAAAAAAAGAAGAAAACTGATTAAGATGCATATTAAATTTTAAAAAAAGTCCAAGATTTTGAAGCCATAAATAAAATATTTGGAAAAGATACTGAATATTTAGCCAAAATTTCTGTATTTAAATATTATTATTTTATTTGTTTCTCCCTTTTAACAAAAAAAATATAAACATATTTAAAAAGTTATGTAAAGAAATGTCAGTAGAAATATATTAAAAAGGTCAAACAATATTAAAAGAAAACGAGCCATCGAATAATAAATTTTACATAATAATAAAAGGCCAAGTAATAATTGTAAAGTAAAACGATACAAACGTATTTTAAGTCCCAAGCAAAGCTTAAATAAATAACAACATAAACAATATTAGTATTTCAAAAACGAACTTGGATATTATTATCTAAAATGATATTTAATAAGAACAAGAACTTTTTTTATAATAATAAATAGCATATTATGGAAAAGAAATTAATAGATTAAATGAAGGTTCAGGTTTTGGTGAATAAGCTATATTATAAAGTGATCCTAAAGTAATTATAATTTATATCTTAGTATATATTTTAACTCTAAAAAATATATATAGAAAGCTAAAAGAGGTGCAAGTATATTAGCTGCTGAAAATAATACTTATTTAATAATAATTTAAAAAAAAGATTTCATGAAATTCGTTGAGAAATTTTCATAAGCCGGAAAATTAAAATTACAAATATTCAGTATGTTAATGCCTTAATTGAAATAAATAACATCCTAATAAACAAGAGACGATTTATTATTTTATTTTCATGAAGAAGGTGGATAAAGAGGCCAATAAATAATATAAGAAGGAAAACCAGGAGATAAAATATATGTTTTATTTGAAGGACAAGTATAAGTAGAATAAAACTACATAAATATAAACAATATATATTATAAAGATATATAAAAAGTAAACTAAAATAAAAAAACATAGATAAAAATAAAAATATATATATATATATAAATATTTATATATTTATATATTTATATATTTATATATTTATATAGAATATATTTTTTAAAAATAGATAAAAATTACTTCTATTGATCCTTATGCTTTTTTTGGGGAAGAAATTCTTTTAAATAATGATGATAATTCAAAATATGATTATACAGTGACTATTAGTTCCATTTAGGCTAAGTTTTTTTATTCTAAAAAAAGTGCTCTTTAGAATAAATTCCCAAATTTAATTAAGGATATTATTAATGATTTTTAATTAAAAGAAAAAGGAAGGAAATAAATAAAAGATTATAATTTTTAGTTAATTTAAAATAATTAAATGAATAGTGATGTTAATTAAACACTACATCATTATAATAAATTAAAAAACTAAGATGTTTTTTATAAATGAATAATTCAATGATTGAAATGCATAATAAAAGAGCATTAAAAGTATTCATATATTAAAAAGTATATTTTATTTTTATTTTAATATATATAAAGGATTAATCTAGATAAGAATTAATGTAGCCTGAATAAATAACTAAATATAGAATAAAAATAATGAAATAAATTGAATAATCTGAATAATTAAATAATAATGATTCTTAAGGGAAACAAATTAAAGAAAAGAATATTAAATAAGATAAAAAATAATGTCATTCAGATATTAGCAGTATTTTTAACAAATTAAATAAAAGAAAATAATAAAATATAAAACAAAATTCATTTGATGATTAATAAATTAATGATTAAATAAGGAAAGAAAGCATAATTAAAAACACTGAAACTTCAAATTAAACATAATAATAAAAATAATAAAATTAATAAAATCAAGGTATAGACTTAAATATTATTGAATATTATATACTAATATAATAATAATTATATCGTGAATAATAATAATAATAATAAAAAAATGAATACCAGTTAAATTTAGGTTATAACGATTAATTTAAAAGTGAATAAAACCGTAAATTAAATATGCTTATTAAAAAATAATAAAAATAGCCTTTACCTACTTTTAAAAATAAATCTAAAAATAATAGTCTTAAAAAAATGGTAAAAATACATATAATTTTATATATATTAAAAAAATAAGCTTTAATTTGTTGTTTAAAAAAAAACTAATAATAATGATAATTAAAAATAATAAGAAGATATATAAAAAATAGATTAAAATACATAAAATATAGATACAGATGTTATTGTTAGTTTTTAGCCTTACTTTTCTTAATATAATTAGAATTTTAATAATAAATCTATAAATTCAAATACACATAAATCTACAAATTCAAATACAAATAAATCTACTTATAGAGTAATTAATTTTTATAATATTTTTTTTTTATTAAAAATAAAATAAAATAAAAGAATCTTTTTAAATAAAATAATAAATAAAAATACTAAAAATTTTAAACCGAAGAAAATGAAGATTTATGTAATGAAATTTAAGAATAAAATAATCTCTATTAATTATAAAATTTAAAAAATCGACTTTAAAAAAACTAAACAATGAATTAAAATTATATCAATGAATAATAATTAAATAAAAACTATTAAAATTCATATTTATTAAACTCTAATACTACCAATATAAATAAAAATAAAAATTCAAATTCAAATTCAAATTCATAATATTATTCAAGTAGATATTTCTAATAAAGAAGAGGCTAATTTATTTTTTCGAAAAATCCAATAAATTTTTAAAATATTAAAAATCATATCTTTTATAGTTAAAGCATGAGTCCTTTAAAAAATAATAACTAGATAAGTATAAAATAAAAACGAAATATTAATTATTCTAAGCATTAAAATTATTCCGATTATTTCTAGTTTAAAAATAAATGAAAAGTTTATTTAATTAAAAAAAAAAAATGAAAGAGAGAGAGAGAGAGAGAGAGATAAATATATTTATATATAAATACATAAGATTTTTTCTTTTTTTTAATTTAAATATAAATTAAAATTAAGTTTATAAATAATAAATAAATAAAAAATATTAATAAAGAAAAAAAAAATATAAATTGAAATTTAATGGAAGTAATCTAAACTAAAAATAAAAATAATGAATAGTAATATATGAAAGAATTCACATAATTTGTATTCTAAAAAGAAAAAAAATCTAAATAATTAAATATAAGTAAATTATTTGATTTTAAAGAAGAAGAAAACTAAAATTAATAAATAAAAAAGAAAAAAAATTTAACTAAAAGCATCTTTATTAAAACCAAATGAATTTTCATAGAAACATAAGTAATGAATAGATTAAGCATAATTATAATAAGATAAAAATATTAGAATTAATAACATACAATAATAATTAAATAAATAATTTAAATTAAAAACATAAACCAAAGAATAATTATTTAACAATATATTAAGCAAATTTAAGAATTTAGAAACTTTTGTTGATATAAATCCTTTTTTAATGGATTTAAATATACTAAATAATCCTTAGTTTATCCAAAAACTTAAAGAAATATAATAAAAAATAGAAAACAAACAAGATAGTATTGAAATCTAATAGATTATTCAATAAATATAAAACCAAGAGTATTATTAAATTGAAACTAAAAATTCTATTAAATAAAAAGAATTTATACCAAAATATAATCTATTGTAAAAATCTATAAATTAAATAAATAATTGGAGAAATACAAATAATTTTGTAAATAATATTTTTGAAAATAAAACAATTGATTATTTAAAAAATAAACTGTAAAATAAAAATGTAAAATATTTATTATAAGAAAAAAAAAATATATAATTTTTATATATAACATATAATAAATATTTTTTTTAAAAAAATATATATAAATTAGGTAAATGATTTAGATTATAATTATGAAAATTTCGATGTATATTTAAAAGATCTCTTATTTGAAAAAGTACAAAAAATTGAAAAGAAAACAACTCAAAATAATATAAGTCTTCCTATATTAAATATATAAAAACATTACCATTAATGAATTAATCAAAAACAACTGAATTAAAC